GATTACTTAGAGCAGGCCAATCATTGATTGTTACGAACAACAATGCTCGCAGATCAAAGTGTTCCTGTTTGTACTCATCCCACACACGTACACCTTCTTTATTCCACAAAATGAGAAGTTCGTCAATAAGTGGTCTCAGGTACACATCGATGTCATTGCCGCGTTGCTTGGGCCTTGGATGAGCACAGAGCATCATAATGAACTTCCGCTTCATGCATAACCAAGGAGGAATGTTGTAGATACTTAGAGTAACAGCCAAGTACTATGACTACTGCTCGCTCTCCAAAAGGATTGATACCATCTGTACTTAAAGCAAACCTTAAGTTTCTTGCGTCATTTGCAAACTCCGGAAATTCTCATCGATTGCTCTCCACCGGGACCCATCAGCCAGGGGTGTCTCAACATATTGTCTACCTTACGGTCTTCTTTGTGCCATTGTAACAATTTTGCATGTTCTTTGTTTCTAAGCAGACGTTTCAAGCGTGGTATTATAGGAGCATACCACATAACCTTGGCAGGGATTTTCTTACGCGGACGTTCGCCCTCAACATCACCAGGGTCATCTCGCCTGATCTTATACCGCGACGCATGGCATACCGGGCATGCATCCAATTTCTCGTACTCTTTGCCACGGTACAGGATGCAGTCATTAGGACATGCATGTATCTTCTCTATTTCTAGCCTCATAGGACAGACAACTTGTTTTGCTTCGTAGGTAGTGGCGGGCAATTCATTGTACTTGAAGCATCTTCTTTTGGATTTTAGTAACTCTCCAAATCCTTGTCGACATACACCATTCTTTGCCTTCCATTGCAGCAATTCTAGTGTGGTTCCCAACTTTTTCTGCCCTGCATCACAAGTTGGGTACAACAATTTCTTGTGATCTTCTAGCATCCGCTCGAACTTGATCTTCTCCTTTTCACTTTCACATTCTCTTTGTGCGTCACGAATGACCTGAGAAAGATCATCAGCCGGCTCATCTTCTGCGGCTACCTCTTCTTCAGCTTCTCCCATGGTAGTATCATTGAAGCACGCACCATCAGGAATAATATCATTGTCGTCCCATTGTTCTTCTTCACCTTCTTCCATTACAACACCGGTTTCTCCGTGCTTTGTCCAACAAATATAGTTTGGCATGAAACCCGACTTGAACAAGTGTGAATAAAGAGTACTTGAGCAAGGATATTCCACCGTATTCTTACATATGGCACATGGACAACAATGAAACCGTCGCGTTTGTTTGCCTCGGCCGCACGTAACAAAGAATGTACGCCGTCAATGAACTCTTGGGAGCGGCGATCAGCATTATACATCCAATGACGGCTCATCTGCATTATATGACATAAATATCATATTAAAACCTAGATCATAATTAATTATTTATACAATATGCGTGCCACCACAAAAGATACAAATTTATGAAAGAATCGCTACAATGTAGACAATCCCAACTACCACTAAAAGAACTAAAGCTAAAATACATTTCAGGGAGCATAAGGATTTCACGACCAATCTCAACTAAAACAGATGATCCCCGATTGTGCAACATCTTTGGGCTTCTTCACCGGATCACTCGCCTCATTAGCAGCCAGATTCTGCCTTGTGTGCAAGATATTTTGCACGAGTTCAACATACTCTTCCTCCCAAAGAGAAGCCTCGAACATCGCCCACCGCCATCCCACCAAATTAAAACAAAAATTAGAACTTTAATCACAACCATCATGAAAATAGGTATAAACTAACCATAATCATTAAATACGATAAAATAACTCACATTGCGATCCGGACACTTGTAGAAGATACGATCCTTGTTGGGACCCTCCTTCTTCACTCGGTACTCCATCACAATCTTCGTCTCATCACGACACTTGCCGCATGGAATGAGAGGAAGGCCCGCCAAAGTCGCTTTGAAACCTATGAGAGGTGAGGACCCGGAAGCGAGTTGCCATCTACTCTCTACTCATTTTTTAATACACTATAAATTTCTCCTTTTATAAACAAATAAAATTAAGAAACTATAAAATTATCTAGATCTCTAAACAATGATATTTTTAATGGTCATTGTGTTCTCGCCTTTTTCTTTCGCTAAGTAAGTAATTCACATGATATTTCCATAAATTAACGTAAGAATGGGAGTGTACACACACAATGCATTTATATCGGGACATGTGAATAAATAACCATCAGTACTAGTTGAACTTGCTTACGTGATCATCTCTCGGTGAGCATTTCTCCACCGGACGGCACCGTACTTGGTCAAGGAAGAGCTCCGATTCTACGAGGAAGGGAACACGGTCTTCCATGACCGTTGTCGCTCTCCCTCGTAGAATCAAAGCTCCTCCTTAACGTTCGTTACCGTTCGGCAGAGAACATGCTCGCCGACATGAACACGGTCCGCTAGTTCAACTAGTATGGATTTTCTATAATTTTCTAACTATTTTCTAAGTTTTTCATTTCATAGAAAGTTAAAATAAAAAGTACGGTGATTGATAGACTACTACGACGATATCGGGACATGTGAATAAATAACCATCCGTACTAGTTGAACTTGCTTACGTGATCATCTCGGCGAGCATTTCTCCACCGGACGGCACCGTACTTGGTCAAGGAAGAGCTCCGATTCTACGAGGAAGGGAACACGGTCTTCCACGACCGTTGCCGCTCTCCCTCGTAGAATCAAAGCTCCTCCTTGACGTCCGTTACCGCTCGGCAGAGAACATGGTCGCCGAGATGAACACGGTCCGCAAGTTCAACTAGCTACTTTAACCTTCTTTCATGTAAATATGCAAGCTTGAAGTGATTTTGAGCTCAAATTGCTTACAAATGAAAAAAACCACAATAAAGAACCATATATATATATATAGTGAATAAAATGAGATAAGACAATGGTGAAAATGAGAGTATGAGATTGGTAACCTTTACAACTGAAGAATCGACGGAGAAATCGAAGAAATCGACGGAGGAATCGAAGAATGGATGGAGGAACAATGGAGGGAGGGAGGAAGCAAGAACACTACTGTAGTGAGCTTCAAAATATGCTGAGCTCGGGCTCGGGGAGGAAGGAGACGACCGGGATATAAAGGGGAGACCTTTAGTCCCGGTTGGTGGCTCCAACCGGGACTAAAGGTAACTTTCCAACCCCGGGCGCAGCCACGGCCCGGGAGTAGACCTTTACTCCCGGTTGGAGCCACCAACCGGGAGTAAAAGTATACCTTTAGTCCCGGTTGGTGGCTCCAACCGGGACTAAAGGTCCCTGCCACCTCTGTCTGGCGCAGTAGCCGTTGGGCAGGGACCTTTAGTCCCGGTTGGAGCCACCAACCGGGACTAACGATATCTCTAGTCCCGGGCGCAAAAAATTCCGGGACTAGAGCCCATTTTGGTCGAGGATCAAAGGTCTGTTCTCTACTAGTGCTATGAGAAGCGGAGCTGCTCTTTGTTAATTTTGTCATTATATAGCAGCTTATGTAGGAGGATTTCTAAATATGTCTGATAGGTTGTTACATGTTATGCGTAGGCATGATCCCTGATCAACGTCATAGGGTACCATATTGTGGAACTGTACTTCGTTCTGTATTGATCATGTACAATGTTCCTTATTAATTTTTACAGCATAACGAATGGTGTTTATTTATGGATAATTTTTCATTAGATGTAACGAATTTCTTGTTGATGGTTTACTCGAGATAAGAAAAAGTCTGTTTAACCCCTTAACTGTTGGCGTTCATCTACTTCACCATTGCACGTAAAAAACTAGGTATTTTACCCCTTGAAGTATTCAAAACTGTGGGTTTGTTTCGAAGGTGGTTTTGCTAACATGGAATATTATACGAATGATGACATGGTACGTAATAACTGAGCAAACAATAGAAAACAAATATGATCAAGCCTCTCATTAAATATGATTAGATAAAAAAGTAATTTATTCATTGGCGCACATGAAGTGGAGGATGTCTCATTAAGCCTCTCACTCCGAATTGAATACCATAGCTTAGAAGACAAGCAAAGCTGAAGTAGTGTTTGCTCATGTATCTTTCAAGACTAAAAACAGATGGAAAATAAGGAATTAATGGAGGTAGAGAACAGCAGTCGCAGGGCGATTGCAAAGAAGTTACATAGATGGTGATGGCATATTAGCTGACTTTGAGCTATACCTTTATTTCTCTGCTGGCAGGTCAAACCTGTCAGTAGTGGATGACTTGGACTACTGTACTGGACTGACTTATTATAGACCAGTAACCACACTTGCCATTTTAAGCTTCGCATGGTCCTTGACGCGGAAGATGTAATCATGTTTTGCCACCTGCTTGGCTTATCTCTGAGGTCTTCAATGCCATCCTCTCTGTTAGAACAACTTATCTCTCGCCATTTATCACTGTCAATATTTTTAATTGCGATATTTTTTCTTCGAGTGCTAAAAATTGCAGTAGGATATTACAATTTAGAAGGCAAGGAAATATTTTGTAGATATGGTCCACTTCTGTTCTGCCTGATGCTTAATTTGTAGTCGATCTGCGTTGCTGTTTGCTCGTGAAGGACAAAATCATTTTGGAAGTTTAGGCAGCTTCAGAGTTCAGATGTGTTTACTAGTCTGCTGTTGTGCATTCTAGAATCTAGACCAGCTACTGTTTTGACTGGTACAATATAGCTTTCGGGATTAGTGTCCCAGGGCTGGTGCAGCTAGCGTGTGCCTTCTGTTATGCAAAAGCTGAAGTCATGTTTGATCGAGTCTTGGAACACAGAGCAGACATGCAAGTTGCAGAGAAATTGAATACAAGTGAAGCAGAACGATGGACCTAGAACACGGACCTTTTGCATCTAGAACAGGAACTGTTGTCCTTTATATGCTCTTGCTTTGCATGGATTCTGCACTTAGACATTCACACCACTCCGTTTTTTCTCGACCATGCCACTTATTGGCACGTATTATTCACGCCACTCCCACAGCGTCATTATTTCATTCTCTCCACCCGCTCTGTGACCTTCCTGACCAGAGCCCCAAAATGGAGATGCTACTTTCCGCACTACTTGGTGAGGGAATCACTAGATCCTTAAATTTTTTCATCAGCAAAAGCTCCAAGCTTCAGGCACACGATGTGGAGGACCGTTTCCACAGGGTCCTGCTCCGTGCGCAGGTCATCATCGACGAGGCCATGGGACGGCACATCACAAACCATGCTATGCTCCAGAAGCTGGACATGCTGAGAGGCTCCATGCACCGAGGCTATTACTTGCTCGACAGTTTCAGGTACCAATTTATCAACGGGCAGGATGCTAGAGATCAGATCATGAGTCAATCATTATCTCCCTCCAAAGTAACTTATTTTAAATATTTATGTCACTTGAAAAGAAAGATACTGATATTTGAACAACTGCAAAAGATGCTTGACAATTTGAGATCCATGATCCTTGATATGGAAGAGGTGGTCATTTTCTTGACCAGCTACCGCCGCTCATACCGCCAGCCTTATAGCATGCATATCCTGCTGGGCAATTGCATGTTTAGTCGTCAGATGGAAGTAGAACTTGCAATCAACTTCCTTTTGCACACACAACCCCAGGGTCCTCAAGAATTGGAGGTCATGCCGATTGTGGGTCCAGGCAAAGTTGGCAAGAGCACTCTTGTTGCTCATGTTTGCAAGGATGAAAGAGTCCGTGACCGTTTCTCTAAAATCCTGTGGTTGTGTGACCATGATTTTAAAGATGATGAGCTGGCTTTCATAGATGAATGTACAGTGAAACTTGAAAATATTGTGACTAACCTGAACAAGGACGAGAGATTACTAGTTGTGGTTGAGTTACTTGGCGATCCCACAGAAGATGCATGGAATAGTTTGTATTCTACTTCTAAACGGTGCATGCCAAGGGGTAGTAAGATCATAGTCACAAGCCGATCGGATAAAGTTGTCAGGTTTGGAACAACACGGGCTATAACTCTGAAGTTTCTTACCCAAGAGGCATTCTGGTATTTCTTCAAGATCCTTGTATTTGGTAGTGTGGATCCTGATATGCACCCAAGGCTTGTGCAATTGGCCATGGAGATAGCCAAGATGCTAAAAGGTTTCATCAATGGTGCAAATGCCATATCCTCTTTACTGAGGGACAACTTTGAAATCCAATTTTGGTATAAGGTCCTTATGTTCATTAGAGGGTCCATCAAGAAGAATATCTCCGAATTTGGTGAACATCCATCTGATCGTCTAAGCCAAGATAGATCTGCACAGCTTGGAAGAGTGTCCATACCTTCCGAAGAAGTTTTAGTTTCCCATCAATATCAACACTCTTCCCAGAAGGAGATTCCAAAGATAGGAGTACTAGATGTGGTGTTTGGAAGTATTAAGCCTCTTGGAAAATTTGATATGCTACTATGGAGATCCCATATACCACCCTATTATAGTTATGTCTATGCTTGTGAGATTAGAGAACTAAAAATTGCAGGTGCCAAAAGGAAGCGTCCTATGAGAAGTGGAGCTGCTCTTTGTTAATTTTGTCATTATATAGCAGCTTATGTAGGAGGATTTCTAAATATGTCTGATAGGTTGTTACATGTTATGCGTAGGCATGATCCCTGATCAACGTCATAGGGTACCATATCGTGGAACTGTACTTCGTTCTGTATTGATCATGTACAATGTTCCTTATTAATTTTTACAGCATAACGAATGGTGTTTATTTATGGATAATTTTTCATTAGATGTAACGAATTTCTTGTTGATGGTTTACTCGAGATAAGAAAAAGTCTGCTTAACCCCTTAACTGTTGGCGTTCATCTACTTCACCATCGCACGTAAAAAACTAGGTATTTTACCCCTTGAAGTATTCAAAACTGTGGGTTTGTTTCGAAGGTGGTTTTGCTAACATGAAATATTATACGAACGATGACATGGTACGTAATAATTGAGCAAACAATAGAAAACAAGCAAAGCTGAAGTAGTGTTTGCTCATGTCTCTTTCAAGACTAAAAACAGATGGAAAATAAGGAATTAATGGAGGCTGAGAACAGCAGTTGCAGGGCAATTGCAAAGAAGTTACATACATGGTGATGGCATATTAGCTGACTTTGAGCTATACCTTTATTTCTCTGCTGGCAGGTCAAACCTGTCAGTAGTGGATGACTTGGACTACTGTACTGGACTGACTTATTATAGACCAGTAACCACACTTGCCATTTTAAGCTTCGCATGGTCCTTGACGCGGAAGATGTAATCATGTTTTGCCACCTGCTTGGCTTATCTCTGAGGTCTCCAATGCCATCCTCTCTGTTAGAACAACTTATCTCTCTCCATTTATCACTGTCAATATTTTTAGTTGCGATATTTTTTCTTCGAGTGCTAAAAACTGCAGTAGGATATTACAATTTAGAAGGCAAGGAAATATTTTGTAGATATGGTCCACTTCTAGCTGTTCTGCCTGATGCTTAATTTGTAGTCGATCTGCGTTGCTGTTTGCTCGTGAAGGACAAAATCATTTTGTAAGTTTAGGCAGCTTCAGAGTTCAGATGTGTTTACTAGTCTGCTGTTGTGCATTCTAGAATCTAGACCAGCTACTGTTTTGACTGGTACAATATAGCTTTCGGGATTAGTGTCCCAGGGCTGGTGCAGCTAGCGTGTGCCTTCTGTTATGCAAAAGCTGAAGTCATGTTTGATCGAGTCTTGGAACACAGAGCAGACAAGCAAGTTGCAGAGAAATTGAATACAAGTGAAGCAGAAACGATGGACCTAGAACACGGACCTTTTGCATCTAGAACAGGAACTGTTGTCCTTTATATGCTCTTGCTTTGCATGGATTCTGCACTTAGACATTCACGCCACTCCTTTTTTTTCGCGACCGTGCCACTTATATATAGGCACGTATTATTCACGCCACTCCCACAGCGTCATTATTTCATTCTCTCCACCCGCTCTGTGACCTTCTTGACCAGAGCCCCAAAATGGAGATGATACTTTCCGCACTACTTGGTGAGGGAATCACTAGATCCTTAAATTTTTTCATCAGCAAAAGCTCCAAGCTTCAGCCACACGATGTGGAGGACCGTTTCCACAGGGTCCTGCTTCGTGCGCAGGTCATCATCGACGAGGCCACGGGACGGCACATCACAAACCATGCTATGCTCCAGCAGCTAGACATGCTGCGAGATGCCATGCATCAGGGCCATTACACACTTGACACCTTCAGATACCAATCTCATAAGGAGGAGGACACGAAAGATCAAGTTGTGAGTCATTGTTTGTCTCTGTCCACTCTAAATTTTCTGAAAGGTTTCTATTCTTCTTCAAATAGAAACTCACAGATTTTAGAAGAACTTCAAGAGGCTTTTCACACATTGAGCTCTATGATCCTTGATGCGGAAAAGCTGGCTGTGTTCTTGACGAGCTACCCTCGCATGTACCGCCAGCCTTATAGCATGCATCTACTTCTGGGAAGCTGCATGTTTGGCCGCCAGATGGAAGCAGAGCTTGTGCTCAGTTTCCTACTGCACACACATCCTAATGCTGCTGAGCAATTGGAGGTCCTGCCAATTGTTGGTCCCGGGAAAGTTGGTAAGAGCACCCTTGTCGCTCATGTTTGCTACGACAAAAGAGTTCATGATCATTTTTCAGAAATCATGTTCTTGAGTGACAATGATTTCAAAAGTGATGAGTTAACCTACCTTGGCGAAGGCTGTGTGAAGAAATATCAAAATTCCACATTAAACAAAGATGGCAGAATGCTAGTTGTTATTGAAGCTACTGGAGATTTCATTGAACAAGAGTGGAAGAGGATGTATGCTACATGTAAACGGTACATGAAAAGTGGTAGTAAAATCATAATCACAAGCCGGTATGACAAGATCACAAAGCTTGGAACAACAAGGGCAGTGACACTGAAACATTTGTCCGATGAAGCATACTGGTACTTCTTCAAGACACTTTTGTTCGGAAGCACCGACCCTGTGATGCACCCGAGGCTTACATGTCTGGCCATGGAGATAGCCAGGATGCTGAAACGATGCTTATTTAGTGCTACAGCGACAATCAATAATTGTCTAAGGGATAACTTTGACATCCACTATTGGTGCAAGGTTGTGTCCTTTTTGAGAGGGTTCAGCAAGTGGCATGTCTCCAAATTTGGTGAGCATCCGTGTGATGCTCTGAACCAAAATACTAGACCCGTGCATCTTGGGAGAATGGTAAGCAGTTCTGAAGAGATCGTGGTTTATCGTCAGTATGAGTGCTCTTCGCAAGAGGAGGTTCCAAAGATATCATTGAAAACTGTGGTGTATGGAGATATTAAGCCTTCTGGGAGATTTGAAAGCCTCGCATTTAGCTCGCAGATACCACCCTATTATAACTATATCTACAGTTGTGAGATTCGAGACCTAAAGACTCAAGGTGCTAAGAGAAAGCGGTCTTGATCATGTCATTCTGAAGCTTATATATTTGTATATTTGAACATGTATATGGTGGGCGCCAATAAGACAGATTTTGATCAAAATGTAAATTACGTGTGGTTCTTTGCAAAAATGTATCAGCCTGTTCGCTTGCTCGTAAACGATCGTAAAATTCCAGCGGGGAACAGTGTTTTTCTCTCACACCAAACCAGCCAGCAGTAAATAATCTACGATACGATACGGCCTCCCGAACAGGCTGTATATTGTGGGCGCCAATAAGACAGATTTTGATCAAAATGTAAATTACGAGTGGTTCTTTGCAAAAATATATATTGTGGGCGCCAATAAGACAGATTTTGATCAAAATGTAAAGTGAATTGATTGTTAATGCTGTTGGCGATTTATTTAGGGAAGATGGAACAACTGTTGACTTCTACCGCCTTGCTTGTGAACAATAAATGTCCATTAACAGTTCTTTCGTCTTTCTCGGCTCTGATGGTTGGTCCCCATGCTCAAACCAGCAAAAAAACAATCATCAACTGGCTCCTTTTAACCCACTTAGGGATGAAAGTGGGCAAGTACGCGAACCTGCATATATAGACTTAGGGTCTATTTGGATCCTTTAGTCCCTAGACTAAAGTGGACTAAACTTTAGTCTCTACCCTGTTTTGATCTAGGGACTAAAGGCCATTAAAGCTACTGTACAAAGATCAAAACACCTCTAATTAATGTTGTGTGTTCGGCAATGATAGCGTTGGGGAGGGGGCAGTGGGCTATGTTTTTGGCCCTTTAGTCCTCTTTAGTCACCTCCAAGGTACTAAAGGACTAATTTCCTCACCTTTTAGTCATCCTGTTTGGCACTTTATAGGGACTAAAAGAGGCTAAAATGGGATGACTAAACTTTAGTCACCTGGAACCAAATAGGCCCTTAATGTTTTGGATCGTCCCATGATTTTTTTACTCTTTTTAATATATTTCCAGTAGGGATTCAAACCCCTCCTGATTCATCATTTTTTTTTGTGGATTGTCGCAAACAACCCACAAAAACTCCTGTGATGGGTAATGGGTTCATTCATATTATGTAGATTATGCATGAGAACTGCACCACCTCATTTAAGATACGGTTGTTTCCTAAAAACGCTATCATAACCTAGAAGACGAACACAGATATTTTGTACAAGCACATTTTCCTTACCAAGTCATAGTCTGCATTGCTGTCTTCTTGTAAAGGCTCAACCAAATGTTTCAGTCAAAACAACTAGCTTTTAATCTTTTACTAGTCAGCTGTTGCTCACTGTATACGGCAAGCTACCATTTTGACAAGTACAGCTTAGCTTTCTAAGTTTCTAGTACTAGTCAGTAAGGGCCAGTAATGGAAAAGTGAGGTGCAGCGTGTTCCTTCAGTCCAAGGGAAGATAAATAGACGCGAGTGCGTGAACTAGCTACTACACTGGATCTAGAAACAGAGACTTTTGCATCTAGAATAGAGACTGTTCTTTATATGTGCTCTTGCTTTTCATGCACTACTGAAAACTCGAATATTTCTGTGTGTGCAAAAACCCACAGAAAAATTCAAATACCCACGGAAATAGATTTTTCTGACGGTGTACCGTCAAAAAATAAGACACAGAAATAGAATGACAGAAAAAAAAATTATGTGGGTTCACCGTCAGAAATAATTTTTCTGTGGGTCTCACACGCACAGAAAAATTGTGTTCGCCCAGATTAAAACTAATTTTTCTGTGTGTTAATCCACACAGAAAAAAGAAATAAACGCACAACAAAACACATGTTTTTTTCTGTCGGTCTAGGTGAACTCACAGAAAAATTCATTTTTCTCCCAGATTAAAAAAAATATTTCTGTGCAGCTAGCCTCACAGGAAAAAAGAGTTAAACACACAAAAAATATATTTTAAAACAGTAGCAACAACATATTAAAATATATATTTTCCATATAGTAATTTCTGTGCATGTCGAACAAGGTTTCATTCAAATAATACACAAATCAGTAGTTCATCATGAATGGAGTCAACACTTATGTCAGAAATAGAATCAGTCTGATCTATCAGCACATATATCATATATACAGATATGATATCTTGTCATCTACATGTTTAACATGAATACTATAATGAATCCACAAATATGGATATCGAAAAAGAAACCAAACTATTTTTTCTTGTTCAGCCAATTGTAAACTAAGAACAATCAAATGAAATCATGGTGAAACCAGGTTGCCAATTGAAATTGCTCTAGGGAAGAAAAGGCCTGAGAAACCTATACAAGCTGTTAAGCTAGCTTCAGAGGTTGTACTTGTCATTAGGCCCAGCGTGCCTATCCTAACTCACTGAAAAGAATACAAAAAGGATGAAGAAAACCATTTAAAAGAATTCATGGGCTAGTTATCTGTAAGTAAATCGATACCTTCCATATCTATTTGGTACTTTCCATAAGTCATTGTATCAAATCCTAATAGTTAAATCTCAAGGTTGATTGACTTCTACAGACCAGGTTGGCAATTGATGAAAATGATAAGCCAAGAAAGGAAGCTTCACTCATCCTAGTTAAGCAGCAAACAGAACAAATATCTTAAATTGCTATATCTACCTAAATGGAAATGAAAACTCACAAAGCCAGCAGATCAAGATAATTCATGGGAAGCGCATGCTAACGTGCAGGACAATTCCACTGATTGGGGAGGCTGGAGCACTGAGAAGCCAACAGGCGAGGCAACTGTATCTAGACAAACAGCTAAAATGGATACTTGGGCTGATAAGGGTGCTAAAATGGATTCAGATGCAGGTGATGATAATTGGGAGAAGTCGTTCAGCACTCCTGAGGCATCAAATAAAAATGACCCATGGGGCAAATCAGAAAATACATGGGAGAAAAGAAAAGGAGCTGGAGGTGATGGTGCTTGGGAGAAGAAGTCTGATGATGGCCATGGCAAGTGGGAGCATCCCAGCAACTGGAATGGGTAGAGTTTGAATGTAGATCAGGACATGTAGGGAAATGCCAGGGGCAAAAAGAAGGCAGATGGTAACTACCAATGGGAGGAGCAGCCAAGCACTTACAAACAGAAGAAGACAAATGCTGATCATGATTCCTCCTATAACAATGTGATGCCACCATCAAGCAATGCTTGGAATGCTGGAGATGGAATTGGAAGACCAAATGCTAAGTCTAATGCAAGATCTAGTTGGGGTGAGAAAGATAAGATGGAGTCTGATGAGCATCTGAAAGTTCCAAAAAAATCACACACATGGAATACAGGGAAATCAAATGAGAGTCCATGGGATAACACTGATGCACTACAGGATTCTTGGGTTAACAGTGCAACTCGCAATAACAACGCTCATGATGGTTCATGGGACAAAGTAGTAGCTATAAAGGATCCTGATTCACAGCAAGATTCATGGAGTAGTGTTGAGTAATCTTGAGTGGTTTGTCACATGAATGCAATAACATAAAGCTAACATGGTAGAATGGGAAAGTTTTCTTATATGAGAAAGATGTCTAAAAAAATATGTAGACCAAAATAGATGCAGTTCAGTAACGGTCTTTTATATTCATAGGTTTATACTTGTGATAATGGAAATGGCTACACATACCTAGCATTTCAGTACAACAGAGAATTAAGTAACGTGAAACGCTAACCCAAGATAGATTGAGAAATAACTGTTACTAGACAATAATTTCACCTAGAGCTTAATTTAATTCTCTCTCTCTCTAATGGGAATTGAACTGGCCACATAACTGGTTGCTTGTACTGGTACAAGCCATCCTAGTTAAGCAGCAAACAGAACAAAATATTCCAAGTACCAGCTCATAAGGTGCTAAAGTGCAAAAGTTCTCTAATGGAAACTTGATTTATCATAGCCACTCAAGAGTAGTACAAAACAAAAAAAGACACAAGGCATAGTTAGGGAAGGGGAGAGCAGCGCGGCACAAGACTGTCAAAAGATATTTGAATTCTGAAAATATTACAGTAGAAGCAGCCAAGCAGGCATGCATACTCGGGGAAGGAAAAAACAACAGCAAAAAAGACATCAATCCCAAGCATGCTCATATGAATCCTAACAATTGAATACTGATTATTGTGGTGCTCTAGCACCTCCTACTAATCCGAACAATTCGGTTGCTGAAAGATGACATATGCTAATTGTTGTGCAATAACTTAAGAACAAATAACCAGCAAGATTATGCAAATAAAATTGAATGTTCTAGCACTTTATTGAAGGATAAATAAATTACCCAAAACAATCTGATCCATACTTACAAAATTATGCAAAAAGTTTAATAGTGCACCTACAATCAGACGATATACAGGTCAACAAGAGCAAAAATGAAGTGCACAGAATAATCTTACCAAGCTACTATAGTCAGGACTGCAATGACCTACAAAAAATAAGAACCTAACATGACGGTTATTTTTGGAGCATTGATTGCAAACAAACATTTTGATAAGTCAGGACTGCATTCCATGATCTGACTTGCTGAATGACAATAGTGCATACTTAGAGAACTGTACAATAAAAATTAGTTTTGTAACTCAGCTCTTGATTTGTAGTGTTGCACAAAGTAGAAAATATGGAATTGGAAAGAAGCACACTCCTAATAAAACACTAAAGCCTAGCCTTCTACAACGCATATATTATTCACTTAGAAGACCACAAAACCGGTTGTTAAAATATATGTGACTAGCAACTATTTCAGACGCACCAATACCACTACTGCCCAATACAGGATATCTGTAATTTTGAAGGTTCCTGATCGTGGAAAGGTGGATGGAGATGGTGGGGTACCTAGCAGTGTGGCGCTTTCTGCCACCAGCAGCCTATCGCTTTAGTGTCGTGTCTGCGGCACATGATAAAAAAATGTTGATATCCAACCTTCCAGCAAGATATATGAGATAAAAACACCAGAGTCGAATCTGGGACATATAGAGAATGTTTCTTATATGATTTGTACTAGGACATCAGGGAAGATAAATTTCTGAAAACATGAAGTACCTATTGACAGGAAGGACCAACAACTTGCAGCTAAATAATCCAACTAGACGTACTCATGTAAGGTGAGTTATAGATTAGATTAATATATATTAATATTTGGTTGTTGCCTCCACAAAGTACTTGCAGCACTCACCAATTACCACATAATAGTCATCATCTTTTCTTTGGGCACCTGTCTCTCATCTCAACACTATTGAAGACATCACTTGCCCCACTCGCTTATCTATTCGATGATTAAAGGACTGCATCAATCAGTGAAGCTTAACAGCTGTGCATACTTAACAAGAAATGTACACTAAAAATAGTTTTTGAAGCCAGATTAGTATGGAACTTGAAATAAGCATACTCCTGGAACTCTAAAGCATATCTATAGTGTTGTGCAAAACACTAAAATGGTCCTAAAGACATGTGTAAACAATGAATTAAGATTCATGCAAATAAATAGTTAAACAACATACTAGCCTCCCAAATCTTATCAAACCAAATATTTTTTTAGTGCTGTTTTAGCTAACACTTGACAACTTTTATGCATGGAACTTGCTACTGCAGCCCATATCAGGATATATAATGGAACAATCATTCATGTGCAGCTCTAAAAATTCAACCAACAATTTCAGAGCAGCTATAAAGTGGCTAACTATAGGTAGTAGAATAAAATGCATGTAGGACGACAATCATGTGCTATTGGAGAAATAAAGAATTCATGTTGACTGCACATTATATACCACATCTAATTCTAAAATGAGATTGACAATATGATGGGATAATTGCCAATTTTGACAGTGATCTTAGCCTTCAATACGAATTTGACACTAAAAAACTTCAAACTACATGGAGTCGATATCTTACCATTGGAGCACACAACAAGCCTATATCCAGAATGTGATCAATCGGATTGGAAATGAGTGTAATCAGATCTGCAATGTTGTGCAAAGTATGGAATAAAAAAAATCTCACATGCAGATGAACAACTTGTGATCAAAACAATAGTTAAAACAGACACGCCACATCATTATGAACTAAAGTAATAATGCTGCTCTGCTGCGACTGAGCTATATGTCTGAACCATATGCAATGGCCATACAGTACAACAACATATGCGCCGGGGAAGAAGGCCAGGGAGGGGCGGCATCGGGGACCACCACCACCACGCCAGCACCACGAAGCCCGCCGCCACGCCGCCCGCCACCACCAGAGCCCAGTTTCGGCCGCCACCGGCGTCCACCGGCCAGATCCGGGAGAGGGAGGGCTGGATCTGGGAGAGGGAGGGGCGGCGCCAGGGAAGAAGGCCGGGGAGGGGCGGCGCTAGGGAAGAAGAAGGCCGGGGAGGGGCAGCGTCGGGGACCACCACCACCACACCAGCACCACGAAGCCCACCGCCACGCCGCCCGCCACCACCAGAGCCCAAATCCGACCGCCACCGGCCTCCACCGGTCAGATCCGGGAGAGGGAGGGCCGAATCCGAGAGAGGGAGGGGCGGCGCCGGAGAAGAAGGCCGGGGAGAGGTGGCGTCGGGGAAGAAGAAGGCCAGGGAGGGGCGGCGCCAGGGAAGAAGGGGAGGGGCAGCGGCAGGGAGGGGAGGGGCGCTGGGGGCCGGGTGCCGGGGAAGAAGAAGGGAGGTGGCGCTGGGGTTCGGGTGCGGAGGAAGAAGAAGGGAGGGGGAGGGGGTCCTGGGGTTCAGGTGCAGAGGAAGACGGGTGCGGAGGAAGAAGAAGGGAGGGGGAGGGGGCGCTGGGGTAAGAAGAAGGGAGGGGTCCTGGTCGTTAGAATTTTTCCGTGCGTGTGTATGCTTTTTCTGTGCGTTTTAAAATAACCGACAGAATAATAACATTTTTTCTGTGCGTGCATATATTTTTTCTATGCGTTTTTAAAGAACCGACAGAATAAGTTTCATTTTTCTGTGAGTGATGATTTTTTCCGTGTGTGTATTGTCCGGAACAGAAAAATAATACAATTATTCTGTGGGTTTTCGTATTTTTCTGTTGGGATATTTTAAAACCGACAGAAAAATCATAATTTTTCTGTGTGTGCCGAAAAAAACGCATAGAAAAATTCATCACGCACAGAACAATTCGAGTTTCCAGTAGTGATGGAGTTCACACTCATCATACGTGATTCCTCCACCCCCATTAATTGTTTCCATATGTCAGCAGCAGTTAAATTACACTCTTTTGAAAAGGACGCTAATTTAAATGTTTATGGCATTACTACAGAAACCATTTACAAAGGTGGTGCTTGTTTTGATTTACCTAGATGGTATTAGGGAACTCCCAATGCAAGAAACTATTAGCAGTTTCTATAGTCTAGAACATCGTAACAAGAAACTATCCTACCTAGTGCAAGATTTTCTATAGTATAGCACATAAGTAGTGATAGAAACCATGTTTGCTCTTCCAATAAGCTACGAGTAATTTCTTTTCCATCGATAACCGTGAAGACATAGTTTCTTAGTTAGGGCCCGTTTGATAGAGCTTCGGCTCCAGTTAAAACAGCTTCAGTTATGGTTTTATCTGTGAAGCAGATTTAATAGGGGAGCTGAAACTATTTTTTGGACCATTTAACAAAACAACTTCTCCTAGTATTCCAAAAGGACGAAATGTCCACAATACCCTTTTTTATTTTTTTCTTTTCTTTTTTTTTTTTTCCCAACCTTATCTGCTCGGTCGAACCGCACGCTAGCCACCCGCATTGAGCCATCCGCATCTCCTTCCTTGTCCGTCTGCTCTGCGTCTCAGCTCCACCGCGGCCAGGCGAGCTCACCCACACGTGGCTCGGCGAACCGGCGACCCAGCACCTCGGCGGAGCCGCTCCTCCCTGCACGTTCATGCCGCATGCGCTCTTCCCTACGAGGGCGTGCTGCCTGTGCTCGTCGCCACGCCACCTGCGCCCCTCGCCGTGCTTCCACGCCGTCGTCCCTTCCCACATCGGCCGCGCCTGCCCCGACCATGCCCGCGCGCCTCTACAAGGGCAATGACCACCATAGCTACACGTGGGGGTCACTAGTGCCAAGCGAAGCCCGGCTCCTCTTCTCTCTCCTTGTTTGTCTCACCGTGATTTCAGGAGCTCCTCGCGAGGAGCCCTTCCCTGTTGAGGCGTTTGGTAGAGGGAGCCACAAAATTGCTCCAGGTGCTGATAGAGAATCTCACCAAACGGCCCCTTAGATTGGTTTGTTGGATTTTTTCTCTCTTTCCTCATTAAATCACTTGCCACATCAGCAAATTGCCTACGTGGCTGTGCAATTAATATCTATAGAAACTACTATAGTTTCTACCCCGTGAGTGCCCTTAGGCACCGCTTCTGCCAAGCAGCCTCTGTAAATGAGCCATTTGAGGCGACGACTATAGAGATAGGTGTCGTAGGTCGTCCATTTTTTGTAAAGAGTTAAATGCACAGGAAACCATTAACTTTGTGATGACGTTTCA